ATGCATGTCTCCGTAACAGCATATTCGCAGTTCCATCTCTTTTCTACATCCTTTGTTTTATATGAGACTTGTTGTGATTCAAGGAGACAAAAATATCTTAACAGGCCCTTTTAACCATCCTTGCTGGATCAGCGTACAATGATAAGGCTCCAGCTGCTATATAAAATAGCGGATCCGTCTCTGTACCTGTCAGGTACCAGCACAGAATGAATAAATTTCAGGGTTTGAATTAGGGTTTTGGAAGCATTAAACAAATCTTTAAGGGCTGGATAGCCCTTCTGCGGTTGCCAATTGGCATGGTATGGTCCTAAGCCAACATGTTGGCGCGGTTTTTTATGGGAAGAAGGATTCTAAGCAACAAGGGTACGTGGCAGATTATGAAACAGTTGATCATGTAATTCAACAATGCTGAATTAATTAGACGTTCAAAGTCTGACTAGAGTTGACTCTGCAGTAAACCCAGTAAAGTTGGTAGCAAGTATGAATGTACTTGGTATTCCTACACATCGAGCAATCTGCTTGCATGATCCGCGTGTCGGTTGCTGGAAGATAAGAGAAAACTTGATCGAAGGCCACTAGGGTTTTGAATCCCTAAAATGGCTTGAACTTCACTCGTTCAATTGTCTTCGTTTATTTCACATGCAGATTGTTAATGCTTGGCTTTAGGAATGTTGATTGCTAATCCAATATTAGGTGTGATTTTAATCTGAATTAAAAAGAAAGTCGACTGTAAAAGGATATTCCTTGAACAAAAATCAAGAAATAAGCTTCAATTCCACGTCATCCAAAAATGAAGGACCAACTCACAAACATGGTTCGAAATGGAGGGATGATATAGTGAAAATTTTCTAAAAGAACCAACCAATAATTTTACTAAAACTTTAATAGCTAGATTACAATTCATTCTTTTTTATGATATCTTAAAAAATTTAAATAATTTAGAGATAAAAATCAAAATAACTATTTTTTTTTAATTAAGGTGATCAATAACGAGTACCTGATATTTCTATTAGGTCCTTTTAATAAATTTAAAAACTCTCTAATAATTAAATTAATGACTTCTTAAGAGAAAATGAAATAATATTGTAAAGAGATGTTCTACAAATAATAAAAAATTAAGATTATAAACCTTTTGTTTAATGTATCTATAATTTATTTATAGCCCATGAATTTTTTTATAAAGAAAAATAGCTAAAAAGTAATATTATCATAATAATATTAAAAAAAATATTCCTAACATGTATATTAATGAGAGAAAAAAACTACATATGTTTTAATATGAATGAAAATATAGTGGGTCATTAAAGGAATTTGATATATTATTTCTTTGACAATATTAATATTAATAAAAATATAATAAATCTTTAAAAGATTTTTATATATTTAATGGGTGGAAGAAGAATAAGATCTAAAATGTAAT